TTTAGGCAATATAGGTATATACTAAGTTTCAGTCTTTCTAGTGTTAATTTGGATACTGGAAATTATTAATTTTTAATCGATTTAAGGAATTCGCTACTGACGTCGATTCTGAGGGACAGTTTGGGAGGCAACTGTATGACAGTGATGCTGGCCACTATAAGCGTGGTGACGTACAATTTAGAGGTGCTGAAAGCTCTCTGCCTCGTGAAACGAACATCCTCGAATTTATTTGATTAATACGTCTCGCGATTGTCAGGAGACAATATCCACTTGCAGATTCGCGGAGCGCGTGGCGCTGATAAAGAACGATTTGAAACGGAACCTGGAGACGGACGTTCAATGCGAGAACGCGTTGCTGAGAGCGGAGAACGAGAGGCTCAGGCAACAGATCAAAGCTCTGACTAGGCAGACCGTTCAGTATATTAATCAACCAGTGTTTCTCGTTTGTTTTGCCCGATGGTTAATTAACTTCGTACGAGCAGGTGTGCGACGAACTCACGGCTGACGACAAGAGAAATCTTGACCGGCAGATCAGACATTTTTTAGAATCGAACGAGGAGATCGGTTGGGATTATAATCCGATGAAAATTCGGTATTGTTTTGAAAGTTTTAAGAGGGCTGCCGAGTTGAATACGGATACGAAGAGATGTTTGAAGAAAATTGAGTATTATAAGGATTTGGTGGTTCAGAAGGACAAGGAAATTTGTATCCTATTTGCAATTTTTGTTATTCTGTTTTATTTCGATATTTCTTAACTCGCAAGTGTACAGCTTTATTAATTAGCATGATGAAGAAGGGGAAATCTACTGACGCGAGTGATAAGTCTACGGTCAATAATTTCCTAGATGATAAGCAAGATTTGATATCTAATCGTATTCCTTTAAAAAAGCTCAGACGTAGATTGAAAGTCTGTAATGAGAACAAAATTACGTGCGATGAAAATATTCAGAATAACGTCGAGGAGAAAGAAGAAAAAGGTTCGAGTAGAAAAATCTGTACTGATCAGACGTCGAGGTACAAATCTATTTACACTGAAACGTCGAGACCAGACTTGTTGCCTTGCAACGTCATTAATCTAACATTAAACGACACCACTGAGAATAGAAATCAAATTGAAGTCAATCAATCTGCTCGGAAATCTGAAAGTAAATCGAAGAAGAAACATAATCGAGAATTAAAAATTGAACACAACGACGAACAGATAAAAAATGTAAAAACTGAGACTAAAAATTCCACATCGCTTTATAAAAAATTCTTAAATTCAAAGATCGAACAGGATGACAGTAAAAATTTTGTTAGAACGAGAACGGAAATTGACGAGTCGACGACAACCTGTCAAAAATTCAGCACGAGAACTGATCAGGAAAATAGAAGTTTCGTTAAAATAAAAAATGAAACGATCAAACCTTCATTGATAGAAACCAGTGATTCGATGCCAGTTTCTCAAAGAAGCTTAAAGTCAAAAATGGACCAAAATGATTCTATTAAATCGAGTGGCAGAATAGAAGCTGATATCTCGGAAAAAGTCTCGACTCCGTATCAAAAATTCAGAACAAGAACTGATCAGGAAAACAAAAGTTTCGTTAAAATAAAAAATGAAACGATCAAACCTTCATTGATAGAAACCAGTGATTCGATGCCAGTTTCTCAAAGAAGTTTAAAATCAAGAATGGACCAAAATGATTTTGTTAAATTGAGAGCAGAAGCTGAAATCGAGGAAAGAGACTCAACTCCGACGTATCAGAAATTCTTAACTTTCAACGTCCCGAATAAACCAGTTGCACCTGAGGAGTATACGGAAATGAAGAAGGAACAAGTGAATTATTTAAACGAAACGCAGAATTTCGGTGACGGTAATAGAAGTTTGGAAGACTCGTTGCCTCTGACCGGAGATCCAGAGATCGACGAAGAAATTATAGCTTTTTACAAAGCGAAACGTACAGGTGGAAGTTATTATTAAGTAAACAGTGTGAATAAAAATGCGGATACAGTATTATTTAGAATTATCAAACAATTTCTAGTACTAAAATAAATTTTAATTAAACATATATTTCGTATATTCAGTATTCAATTCTACATTCCTTATTTAATCCGATGAATGTATACTTCAATTTCCTGAACACGTTAATGTATCTATGTCTAATTTTTCGCCGTACATTTCCGCTTCCAAGATCGACAACGTGTTATCGTCGACCAAACCAAGGCAACGCCGCTTTGCAAAATTAGTATACTTCCTAATCTTAAAACTGAATAATTTATTAGCGTTTATTTTTATACTATCTCTGTGCACGAAACCTTGAATACCTGAAAATAATCACATATTTTATCGAATAAATGTGTGTTGAGTATTCGATCGTACCTTTGTATTCATAAATTGTTAGAATCTTTCGATTTTCCATGAAAATTAACAGAGTTTCGAATGACCCTTCGAAACTGAATACGACGAACGACGCTGGTCGATGGGCTGTTATAGTCTGCAAGATCTTACCTCGTTTTGCATCTTTACTGCAAATCTAAAAAATATTATAAGTAGTATGATAATTGTTAATTAAGTTGTAAGACTTACGAATATGCGATTTCTGCTGAGTTCCTCGTCGTAATACAAATACATCTCCTTCTTAAGAAATCCAGCGTTGAACTTCAAAATCTCAGGCTTTCCAAAATATTTTCCAAGACTTGTATCCTGAGATTCAACCTCAAACTCATAAACATTATTCACGCTCTTCAATAATTCATTATTTAAATATAATTTCGTGTTATCACTAGTCAGAGTCGACAGAGATTTTTCAAACTCCTCGTTCATCTTATCAGACGATTTCAATCGTTCTATTTCAGCAACCATCGTCAGGAACATATCCTGATTTACATCTCTTCTATTTATCTTGTGTCCAAGATCCAAAACGAACTGAAAAAATAAGCTCGACATGAATCAAACAATTTTATCTCGTCTGAATGAACTCACTTGAAAATCATCGTCCTTCAGTTTCCACAAGTTCACAGAACTCCTTCCACAAGAATTTTTCCCTAAAGTGAGGAAATATAAGGTCTGATCTCGTTCGAACGTGGACCATTTCTCGATCACCCCGAAATCGATGACGTTCGCGACCAATTCGAATGTCTCCCCAGTGAACTGATACATGTGCATCTGGCAATCATCATAGCTCAGTGTTAAGTAATCCAAGTCATTCAGTTCGAAGTAGTGACTGCTGACGATGCTGCTGTTGTACTCGATGACTTGCAAATAGTCGAACACGTTGAACTGATAAATTTGCCTCTCCGCGTAATGCTTCAGGTGATTTAAATCCTCGCACACACTGTGCAAGTTTGCCTATAAGAGTGCAATTTACCAATCAAATTACTCTATAATTTAATCATTTAACGATATCAGTCAGAATGATTGACTTTGAATGGTAGCTCTGATGTTAATTGTTTTGCCTTAACTGTTTTTAATGTAATAAATTATTAAGCAAGAGATCTCACTTTTGTTTCTGCTAATATCTCATGCATTTCTAAATGCTTTTTCGCCAGGACGTTTGATAGATCTGTGATATTCGTGCCGTTCAGTATATCGCTTCCTTCCGCTCCGTTCTTGAAATAAACGTTCCCATGTACTGTCCATTTACCAGAGATTATCTGTTTGGACGAATTATTCGTAGTGACGGCTTCAGCTGCCCACCGATTCGGGTTAATACCATTTAAATACCCGAACACTTGAAGATTCTGATTGAACACCACTGGTTTCTCAAATGCGAAATTACCTAGAAAAATTTTTTGTCATTTATGATTAATCATTCTATGAATTATTCTTTTTCTACCTATGATGGGCTTCGTTGTGTTCAGAGGTATGAACCTCGTTGGGTCGATTCCGTTAATCAGACGAGCTTTGAAGTCTCGAGCAACGACGTTTCCATAAAAATTAAAGTTTCCTGTTATGGTCTGGTCTCCCGTTAACTAGAAATAAATCTAATTATGATAAGATTTTTTTATGATTGAATGTATTCAATTTTTGTACCATGAACGTGTTTTCCTGGATTTCCTTTAGATTTTCATTATTAACCCTTCCGAATATTTGGACCTTTTTCGCAATGACGTTACGACATCGTAACACTTCCACTGGTATAGTTTGATCCGTTTTTAATGGCAATAATAATTTCATGTCTATGTCGTTAATCATGTCGACTTTGATATTCGATAGAAAATCTACTTTGCTAAATGTTACAGTACCTGCAATGAAATAATCAAATTATAATTCTATTTAATATAATATTTATAGCATAAACTATAATTCTATTCAGTATAATATTTTAATAATGAATTAAATATTAAAATAAAATTTGAATCACCGTCGATGTGAATAGGTCTGTTAACATTCATAACATTCTTCTTCAAGTCATCTAAATCAATGCCCATGATACTCTTTGCTTCAAGATTCTTTTTAACTATAATATCCTTCTCCACCTTTAAAGCATCTTTGAAAATAACTTTCGACTTAATGGAAAAAGGTTTATCGATGAATACAGCCTTTTCATAAAATCTCTTCAAGTCTATATCGTTCAGTCTATCATTCGCGATAAACGAATTATTGAATATGACCTTGTTCTTAAATATTTTCGTTCCAGTAATTGTAAGATTATCCTTATCTTTGTAAATTACTGTGTCGAGAAATTCGGTGAAGTTCTTTCCATCGATTAATCCAGTCGTTTGTAGATTCTCGACAGTCACGTTCCCAGGGAAATTAATTCCGTCGCCAAATTCGTAAGTGTTGTTCCCTACAAACTTGAATCTGTTCGTGAAGTTATGGAACGGTATATGATTGATTTTTCCTGTTACGTTGAAGTCGTTGGAGACTGTGATGGAACCTGGAGAACAATTTATTTCAAGTGACAATTTCAGAAGTTTTAATTCATTGCATAGCATTTTTAATTATTTAATTAATTATATTACCGTTTATAATAATGGGACCTAATAATGTCTGTTCCTTCTTTGGATCTAATATATTTTCTGTAGGCCGACCGTTTAAGGAATCTACTTCGAGTTGATAGCAACTGACGTTCGACTCAAATACTTTGTGTCCCTCGAGTACTATGTCTGTATCATCGTTTAAAATCGTGTCCGATACGCGTTCTGAGAAATTGAAACCATTCATCAAACCCAGGACAGTTAAATTCNATGATTATGCAAATTCATTTTTTTTTATCTTCTCATTGAAGCTTACCCCTTCGATGACAGTGTTTCCAGGAATGACTTTAGGCTCGTCTTTCCATACGATGTCTCTCATTAAAATATTCCAATCAATCCCGTTGATGTTCTCGAAGGAAATATCTCCATTCACTTCCACTTTATTTATTTCACTAAAGTTCACATGACGATAATCTTTTATAGCGTCGCTGAACAGAATATCTTTAAATGGGATACCATTCACGGAATACACCGTGAGATTCTCAGCTTGAATGAAATCGAAAGTCTCTTCAATCGTAGTAGAATCATCGTGGGACGAGGAATCGTTCATGCTAACGTCATTAATGAACTCTGCAGTTAAATTCTCGACTGTCAGACTTCCAGCGAAATTTATATTCCCAAATATTTCTACATCCGAATCGAAATCCAACTGATTCGCTTTAGCCAAATTCGAATCAATTTCAATCAGTTTTTGCTTTACACTCTTTAATCGTTTCTCAAAATTGTCTATGTCGAATCCCACGTCTTCGGGTGTTAAATTCGCGTTGCCTATAGTGATCTGGCCATAAGATACGTTTTTAGAAAAGGTTGCATTTGTCACGTCTGCTACGCTAATATTCCAGAATCCGGTGACTGGGTTTTTCAAGTAACTTTTCTCGATACGAGCTTCTGTCTCGTTAAGAATTCTGTCTTGATGATTCAACGTTTCCTGAAGAAATGACAAATATTTTAATACTTAAAGATGTTCTGTCAGTACTTGAAAAACTTACTTCTAGTAAACTTTGCAAGAGCAACAGTCTCTGTGTAGAATATTGGACAGGGTGTATAACATCTTTCAACTGAGTGTGAATTTTCACCAATTGATTGCCGTGCATGAAACCGTATTTTGGAATTGGTATAATTTTAGAAAGATCGAACTGATCGAGATTCTTATTTGGCAAATGAGTTCCCTTAAAACTGAAACCTTGCCAGGTCAGAGCGAGCACAGTAGAATTTTTTAATTGCATCAACAATAAAGATTCCTCTCTATAGGAATCTGGTCTTATACTCTCGATCCAAGCAATTTCTGGATAATCTGTGATAAGCATAATCACATCGAATGAAATATAAAAATTGTAAATATTAATATTTCAATCTATTCATACCGAAATTAGATTCAGATTCTGTGTTGAATTCGAACTCGTCGTTCACGAAGTGGAACAGGCCAGCTTCCGGGCCAGATATTGCCAGGAACGAAAGGTATCCACTTTCGAAACAGACGAAATTGCTTAAATTATACGATTTTATGCTCTGCAATTCGCGGAAACTACTCCCTTCGGTAACGTTCCGATCTTCATAAAATAAAACGTGGTTCGAGCCTTGAACAGCGAGTGATGCGGTTTCGTGAATAGGACAAACTTGAATTCTGTCTGTTTTCAATTTCGGAATTTCATCGTACAGCCTGTGATGAAATAAATGAATTAAAATGTCGATATAAAATATAAAAAAGTTCATCGAATTGTTAAATTAATTACCAAAATAAATTAATACTCTTAGGAAAATTAATATAAAAACCATAGACGTCAATGGCTGAGTATCGTGCACCAAAATTAATCTCTTCATCATTTAACAATAATAATTGATAGGATTTTTCACGTTGGATGAACTGTATATCTTTTATACGTTTCAATACTGGCCAAGTCCAGAAATGTTTGAACACATTTTTATCTTCTAGCTTGTACCATTGCAAAGTGGTCGCGTTTCTCGATTCCACGCATAAAACTATCAAATGCATTTCCGGTTGCAGGCTGACTGCTCTGTACGATATTATATTGCCTTCTGCGTCGAAGCTCGAGGAATACGTTATGCAAATTTTATCTAAGTCCACTTCGTAGAAATAAAGCGTGGACTCCTCTGCACGAAACAAATAATCGCTGCCGATTATATTCAAATATTGCCATTTCGTTTCTGTTTTCGGTAGATCTATGAATTCGTGGATAGACACGTCTGTCACGACGAGTTCTGAAAATTATTTTCTTGAATTTGTATTAATTCATGAAATTATTATTGCAAAATTTAGGATCTGATTTTGTACCCTCTCGATTTCCAGCGCCGGTGTTGAACTCGTATTCCATCCAAATATTCGATACATCCTCGACGTCCCGTTTAATTCGCGACGAGACGATTTCTTCGATCAATTTTTCGACGTCCAAGCAAATCGTGTATTTCACAGAAATTAGAAAAATAAATAGGAGAATGGTGGAAACCTGAATTGACCGGTTCATCTCGGAAAGTAGAACTCGTACCGCTCGCTCGTCGAACGGAAAATATTTTGATCAGCTAATCGTATCACTTCGCGCAGTGGTTCTCCAAATGTTTGTGAAACATCGTATTATTTGATCGCTCTTGAACTTTCTTCTCTTGGACAGTTTAGCAGTCGATTGGTTTCTCGGTTTCATTCGTCTACGCTAATTGGACACTTTCACGAGTATGTGGGTCAAATGATATCCGTCGCCCGTTTTCCACGCAGGAAACGCTTTATTAAGTCAACGTTATAATAAAAAAACAAAAACAACGTGCAGAAATAACGTGTTACCAAACCAGTGACGTAACGATTACCCCGGTGTCTTATCTCGCCTCGGAACGATCGAAGCATCTATTTTCGTAAACCCATCACTTATCCTTAACAATATAATAAATCTACGTCTATGTACATATTTTATTCGAATTGATAATCCTTTTGATTCTGAATATCGCGACGGGAAGTTCGATTCCTACGGGACAGTCACCGGTAGGAATCTCGATCGGTCGCCGACTTTCGGCTGGAACCTCAGATTTATCTTCTCCTTTTCATCCTCGCCGACCTCGAGGAACGTGTTCCAGTCCACCAGGAAGTACAATCCGCTCTTCCTCCGTGGTGGTAGCGACGTGTCCGGTGCCTTGGTCGTTCCACCGAAGGACTCTTCCAAAGCCATCAGATTGGAGGAGCTCTTGGAGGAAGTCGTGGAGGAGTCGACGCCAGAATTTAATTGATCCGACGCGGCTCTCGCGGAATCTGTCGTTGTCGGGCTTAACGTCGTTTCGCCGGCCGGTTCTGTTGACAAGTTCCATTCATGAATCGGTTCGAAGCCGACTTGTTTCAAGCGCGTAATGAGGTTCAGAATTGCACTTTGAGTCCGAAGAATTTTTAATGCATAGAGATTGCGACAGTCACAGAGAGGAATGAATGTTATACAATGAGGGTTACAGAGATTTGTTAGGATCACCATAAATTATGTCTGGCTCTCGATTTCTCGGCGACATTAGTCACAGTGTTATTAGTATTACAAATAAGATTCTCACAATTAGCAAAGTTAGACGCGGGTAGAAAGTCGTTGGCTCCAGGTCGATCCGGAGTTTCCATCGATCTTTCCCAGAGATTGTCCTTTTCAGGGAAGATCGCTCTTTCTTCGCATGAAAGTAAAATTCGACGTAGAAATCGACGTGTTAGAAAACGGCGATTAATTAAGGGAGATAATGAATGGCTGCGTTCTTACGAATATGCGAAGGACGTACAACAATGAGAGGAAACTCACAATAGTTTGTTACAACTTACAGAATTAGTGAAGATAACCAGCAGACTGCGGATTTTATTCATTCAGAATTTATGTGTAAATGTATAAGAAATGTACATTTTCGAGAAGTAAAAGAAATATCAATTTATATATCATTTTTTAATTATTCTGATTTTATGGAATTACAAGAAAATTTTCAGAAATTATGAATATTTATAATTAATATTTTATTTTATATAAAGATCCGCAGTTTGATGATGAGATCCTCTGAACCAGGGCTAACGAACTCCACTATTGAGCTGCCCTACTATTTCGACTTGAACTGACGATAAACAGCAAACTTGGTACTTAGAATAAAACACGAAATTAAACTTCCGTGGAAACTCCTAAGTATACTTTTAACGATCGGAGTTGAACTTATTAAAGTGCTTCCCTTATTTCATTTAAAAAATGAGGATTGCAGAAAAATTTATGATTGAATTTTTTAATCGGATTTAATTAAGAAAATTATTTAATTAGCTTGATTGAAAGAAATTCGAATTATTCGATTGAATTTTAATCTTTAATTAGAAAAGTTTAATCGTTATTTGTTATTAAAATTAAGAAATCTGCAACTTTGATAGAGATAGAGAGTAAAGCACCAGTAGTTGAAAAGCGATGAGATACGATGCCCCACTATCATTCATGAATAGTAAACAGCCATAGAAGGAAGAGGAGAAACCCCAGGGAAAACTGTAGGGTCAAAAGCTCTAAATGACTTACGAGCTTCTATACAATTTAGTTCTTCACTCCAAACCTATTATACATATTGATTAGTAGACTCTGAAATCTTGTTAATACTCGAATAATCGTTCCAACCAAGAATTCCGAGCCACCCAAAACATACATCATAAGTTTTTTAATACCAGTAGTCGTGGTCTGTCCCTCGTCTCCTGTAGTAGTCGTTTCACTCTTCTCTTCATCCTCCTGTCGTTTAACTTCGTTTCGAGTATCCTCTTCGTACGTCTTGAAAATCTCTTCAAGTTTCACGGGATCTGGTCCTTCTTTCAAAACTTTTGTCGACTGTAATAAATCACTGGCTGCTTGTTTAACGTTCTGAATACCAGCCTTGCCTTCTTGCATTAATTTCACAGTATCCAATAGTTCATTGATTTTATTTTTCTGTTCTTCGTCTTGCACTTTGGCTTCGTGAGGTTTGAACACATGGAACTTGGACGAATCCGTGGATTTCACATCTTCCACAGTCTTCCTCTTCCTAGAAATTAATCCGATGTTCTCTAGAATTCCTCGCATGTTATCTGGCACTACTTCGATCAGAGACGGCATTTCAGTCGTCGGTCTCATAGACTTCTGTTTCCTGTTATCACCGATCAGTCCGAAACTCGCCAGGAACTCTTTCAATCCTTCGTCCTTCACATTAGAAGTCGGTAGGGGTTTGAAATTCGTATAAGAATTCAAATTAATTGTCGTTCTCTGAGTGGTACTCGTAGATTTATCCAAATCCGAAGTCTGCAGACCGAACTTCTTAAACAGCAATTGGACATCCCGACTTAGATTATCCACCCCTTTTTTTATCTCAGATCCAGGAGGTCCAACGTTCTGATCGACGATGGACATGGAATCAGTCGTGACAGGTGTCAAACTTGTACTACGAATATTGTTTAATTCTAAAATATCTTTATTCTTCTTATAAACGTCTTCCACGTTGCTGTTGTTGTCTGGTCGTAATCCGATGGAAGCTAACAAGTCCATCACTTCTGGTCTCATCGGCATTGAAGTGGTGCTGGTGCTTGTAGCTTGGCGAAATCCTGCAGAATTCAGGGAATACGTGGAACTGTATTTCGTCTTCGTGGTCGTCTGTGGAGACATGGGAGTCACGTAAAGAGCAGTAGGCTTCTCAGTGCTCATCATCAAAGCTTCTTTGATCATCTGAGATTTTTCTGTCGACGCGATACGTTCCTCAGGTTCTACGGTAATCGTTGGAAGAAACGGTATCCTGTCTACCTTAGAAGGCAACGTCGGTTCGAAGGTAGTCGGCGGCGCGTTGTAACGCCACTGACTGGATGTCAATATATTCTGCTTCTCTTTGAACCTCCCTAAGTCGATCGCGATCTCCTTGGGAGCAGGTTTCGTCGTAGCTTCTGTAACGCTGGTGCTGTAAACGATTTCCAGTTCTGACGTGCTCCCGTTACTCCTGTAAATCGGATACCTAGTCGTCGTCGTCGTCGTCGTTGCAGCTCTTTCATTGGTATAACTGTTCTTCTGTAAATTATCTAAATTAAACGTGAATTTAACAGGAGTCGAGTCCAGTTTCAACGTCTCCTTTAATGGTATTTTCGTTTGCACTTCGGAATACGTGTCTTTGTGATTTTTGTATTTGTTCTTATTCGTCGTTGTTAAATCTTTCAAAGTCGTTTTGTACGAATCGCGATTGTAAAAATTCTCGGTTGTAATTTCGGAATTTTGCACTTCGTTGTCCTCTTCGTCTCCTCGGTTCTCCGATCCCTGGTCGTCGGGAATCATCTGCGTCATCGGAGGTTTCGTGTACAGGTCCTTCAGATCGCCGGAGGATTCTCCATTGTACGGCAGAACGACCATCAATGCTCGTTGGTACAAATTTCTCGCTTTCTCCAGCTTCTCTTTGTCCTTCAATTGTCTCAAATCCTGCGAGGTGATATTTTGCAGGGTTTTGACTATGTCCGCTCTGGATAACCGAGGCAAGCTCGGATTCTCGCGGATCTGTCGTTCGACCTCTTCGATCGTTCGGTTGATCGAACTCTCGACTTCGTATCTCGATGGGAGATCGTCTTGGCTGTGGCCCAGCCTGAGCAGCAGCAGCAAACAGAAAACCGCGAGCTGCACAAATAATCAAATTTCTAATTGAAATTCAACGGAGCTTCACATTTTAATTATTATTAATTGCTCGAGAGTGACTCCCATTTAATTATT